AGGGGTCAATCCTGGGTCCTCTTCTGTTTAATATTTACATGTTGCCTCTAGGTCAGTTGATTCACAGTAATAATGTCTCTTATCACAATTACGCTGACGATACTCAGGTCTATGTGTCCCTGACAGCAGGAGAGCATGAACCAGTGGACTCGCTCCTTCACTGTGTCCAGAAAATCGGTGATTGGATGCAAAATAACTTTCTCCAACTAAACACCGACAAAACTGAAATAATTGTTTTCGGACCCCAGAAACAAAGAGAGAGCGTTATTTGTCACCTCCAGGCTCTCTCTCTACAACCCTCAAATCAGGTCGGAAATCTAGGAGTGATAATGGACTCAGACTTAAATTTCAAAAGCCACATAAAATCTGTAACATCAGCAGCTTATTACCACCTAAAAAACATTGCTAAAATTAAAAACATAGTGTCTAAGGCAGACTTGGAGACTCTTATACACGCTTTTGTCTCCAGTCGGTTAGACTATTGCAATGGCTTGTTCACAGGTCTCTCCAAACAGGCTGTAAAACAGCTGCAGTACATTCAACATGCAGCAGCTCGAGTCCTGACCAGAACTAGGAAGTGCGACCACATTAGTCCAGTTCTCAGGTCTCTGCACTGGCTTCCTGTTCCTCAGAGAATAGACTTCAAAGCAGCTTTACTTGTGTACAAGTCTCTCCATGGTCTCGCGCCAAGGTACATCCACGACATGTTTGTGCCATATGAACCGACCCGGACTCTGAGGAGCACAGGGACTGGACTCCTGTTAGTGCCCAGAGTCGGTACTAGACATGGGCAAACTGCATTTCAGATTCATGCGGCTAGAGTCTGGAACCGTCTTCCTGAGAATGTGAGACAGGCGTCTACTCTGGCATCTTTTAAATCTAGGCTCAAAACAATTCTGTTTAGCTGCGCATATACAACTGAATGATTTTATCTTTTCATCTTTGTTTTTATCCTTAATCTTTTTAATGCACTGTGACTATTTATGATTTTAGTCCCATCTGTGATTTTAATGTTTAAAGGTTTTTAATTTTTGTGATTTTATTTTTAATGTTTTTAATATATCTTGTGCTCTTAATGTGTTTGATTTATGCATGATGTGATAGGGGATGTGAAGCGCTTTGCGTTGCCTTGTGTAGGAAAGGCGCTCTACAAATAAACGATGATTGATTGATTGATTGATTGTTGTGTGCTGCTATTCGACCCAGGCTCCGCCCCGCTGTGAGGTGCACCGGTATCGCGCACCCGATTCCACTCCCTCTGTTCTGAGATGGGGTCACTCTCCCCCTGTCCGGCCAATCTGTCTCTGCAGCTACTCATCGCAAGCCCAGGAAAAGCAACCTGTGCAGGCGGCATGAACTACCAGTGTCTTCTCTGCCATCGGTCCGAGAGGATGTGTTTCTGTGTGCTAGAGTTCAGATTGATTCAGATTGCCTGTGTGGCCGCCTGGTCGTACCACACCATAGTACAAATTACATTTGGTACTAAGGTCTGGAGGTGCTCCATTGAGCTCCGTTTACAGGTGGGAGGGGTTAACTCCTTTTGCAGATTGAAACGATTGGATCTGAGTTTACCGTGACGTATGTAGTGCGCCCGAGTCTGTCGTTAGCATTTAGCATTTAGCCTAGCCATCTCCTAAGGCCAGGCTACCTGTGTGGCTGCCTGTTTGTGTTTTGATTGAGGTAAAGTAATACTTTGATTCTGAGTTTGTCCTGTATGATTGTTTCCCGTTTTGCCCATTATATTGGCCATTTATATGCTTTGGTTTTTATATGCTACATTCCTCTTCCGCTCACGAGCTCAACTGTAGGGTTGTAAAAATCATAATAATTGACAATTGGAGCAAAGCAGCGTGCACAGTGTGAAGCTGCTCTGTAGTTTGTGTTGGTCCATGGTGTCTGTATGCACACACCGCCTCCAAGACCAGTGCCACAAGAAGCTGCTCCACCACGGGCAGTTTCCTCTTGTCCTCACGGCTTCAATCCCCAGGCGAGAACGATATGGCTTGGTTTGTAGCTTGTTGCAGTTGTAGATTTAGTAATTTTGCCTCTTCTTTCATCATGATTTTGTAGTGATATTCTCAAATAACAGCAATATCTTTTTCTGTTTACATTTGTAATTTTACTATGCTGTTGTTCTTTCACTTTGCAATGCGTTTTCTTTATAAAATATGAGATGTAATATGTGACAGCCCTAAGCGTTACTCTTTTAGACCAGAGTAGACTTTTGAATTTTAGGCTAGTGCGGTGTGTCTACTGTATAATAAAGTTGATATTTATCTGCATGGTTTAGATCTTACCTGTTTGCCCTGCATTAGCAACTGTTTTTTTTCCCCAAGTAGCACCTGTAAAAACTTTTCCAAACATTCTGTATTCACTAATTCTCAGTTGTTGTTCTCTTTGCGTATTTCCCTACGCTGTTCGGCCCAGGCACAATGAGCACAACAATTTGACAATTGACTTTGTGTATAGTTACAGCTGTTTTTTATTCCCCCTGGCGCAGGTTTTTTTTGGCAGATTATTTACAACTCAGAGAACATCAGTGTTATGGTAGCCTCAGGCATGGGGTTTGGAAAATGAATATTTTTTTAACAACATCTGATCAACATCAAACGTATATATCCCATTGTCATCATATGGCATTAAAAGTATTCTCTGCACTAAAATGATTGATCAATGTGAAATAGCAGCGCCGTGCATCCAGTAGTGGTGAATAATAGATCATTCGTCTCCTTCTCCCTAATATAACGCCTGGGGAACATGCAGAAAAGTGCGCGACAGGCCCAAGCTGGCAGAATCCACAACCAGACAAGCCAAGATGGTTTCCTGCTGGTTTCAAGGAGAGATGAGCAAAGTTACCCAGCTTCATTTGGAATGGAGACACTGCCAATTACAGAATATGTACAACAGATTGTCAGTCGTTAGGTATAATGAGCTTACAGACACACTCGCTTTAACTTGGCTGCAGTCTGCAAGTTTTAATACAGTAAATAGAACCTTTCTCGCTTTTGGAATGTTTAATTTAATCTTTTGTTTCACCGATTACTTACTTTCACATAAATTAATTAAAGCCATGAATCAACCTTGTCCAACACATGTTTTGCTAGATGAAGCTGGAACGTGAAAAGGAAAAGTTGGGAGATGTTTCTGGCAGGGTGATTACTAATTCATCATTTTGCTTAAAAGGAAGAAACCAATTAGAAGCATGAAAATGTTCAATAATTTAGAAGTAATCGTACAAAAGCAGACAGGATTTCTTTCAATAAGTCAATAGCCTATACCATACTATACTATATTTATTTTTTCTTCAGGATTAATTCATGCATTATGATATGGATCTTGTTGTAGCTTTGTATATTAGGATTAAACAAAATAACTATAAAATATCATTAGTTAAGATCAACTAAACACTAGTGCCCAGCCTTACGATGCCCTCATGAATATTTGAAAATTCTCTCTAAAATTGACATTGCGGACCCAGCGGACCAGGGGACAAGTAGGAGGGCCTCGAGTTGGGCGTGGTTTGGGACGGACCAGACAATCATGTCATTGATGCAATAGTTTACACACCAGAAATTCTCATTCCACCCTCGATTATACTCACTAAGATAATTGTATAGCCAGACAGCTGAACCCAAGCCAAGCGTTTATACCAAAGATGGACGTCACACTGCACAAAGCGACGTCCGAACTCAAATACAGTGCCACCGAAAATGTGGAGAGGCACAGAGTGTTTTAGGCTCAATAGTGAGATTGTATCTAATTTGCAAAATGTTGGCAAACAATTTACTAGGACATGTAGAGAGCACTATAAGAAACATATTTATGCAGTTTATGAGTTAAAAAAAGCTCATTTGGTATTAAGTTATCTTGTTTTAATGACTCTATAACAATTCCAAGATACAAAAGAGACAAGAGAACATAAACCATACATACTTTACACACCAGGGAGAGGAGAAGCTCTGGCTGGACTCCTGTTATGTATGTACTTCTGTGTTTGTATGGGTGTGTTTCTGCTGCTGGACAGTAAGTAAGTAAGTCATATTTATTTATATAGCACTGTGGGTATTTGTCGTCTCACTCTACACAGATGGGGGCGGGGTCACCATACAGGAAGAGCTTTTATAGTTTTTAGTGGTAAGGGAAACCGGAGCACCCAGAGGAAATCCGCACAGACACAGGTAGAATATGCAAACCACACAGAACAGCTGTCTCATACTGGGATCAATAAGGTATCTATCTATCTATCCTCAGCAGGTGGCCTTTTGCTCCATGGTGTCGCTATAGAGACAGAAGACACAGAAAGAGAAGGATGTAGCAAAAAGTAGTGGCACTGGTCTGTCTACACTCTTGACATTTACAAGCTAAAGTAAAATCCCGGCACTGAAATCCGGATTTAGACAGACATGATCAAAAATATAAACACCAGGATCATATAGTGGCAAGGCAAGGCAAGGCAAGTTTATTTGTATTGCACAATTCATACACAAGGCAACTCAAAGTGCTGAACAAAGTCAGACTGAAATTAAAAGAGCATTAAAATCATAAATAATCACATACAAAAAATATAAAATCCCTCAGTTGTATGCACAGCTAAACAGAACCGTTTTTAACCTGGTTTTAAACATTGTCAGAGAGGAGGCCTGTCTCACATCTTCAAGAAGATTGTTCCAGATTTTAGCAGCATGAATCTGAAATGCAGCCTCCCCATGCAGCAAAACAATGATGTATGAAGCCATAAATTATTGCATCGGGAATCATCATGTTGTCATGTCATTGGAGAGTTCAGTGAGTGAACGCTGGCGCGCTTTGGCAGCCGCTGCTCACAGAACAAACACGGACTAAAACATTGTTTACGCAATATTGGATGTCGTGGTTACGTTGTGTTTTAAGGATTGTTTACCTGCTTTCGATATCAACCACAGTTTGCTGTTGTCATAAGCATTTTGGACATATTCATACCTGGGACCCCTGGCTGTCGTATTCCCCTCCTGCAGGAAACGATGTGTGTCTGCCATATAACGCGCTGGCTTGTTGTCATCTGGCTCATCGTGTCCCTGGTCCATCTGCAGGCCAATGCTCTCCTCCAGTACTCCGCTGCTGAACTTTTAAAACTTCGGCACCACGTCCCCGCTCCTCTTCAGCCACCGGAGCGCGGACATGACATCCCCCCGGGCATCGCCTTCCAGCCCCGGCGGCGGTACGTTCACCGTGGATCACGCTGTAAGCTCCAATACAAGGACTCCCATTCAATAAAGTCCCTCTGGTCCACCACTCGCCGCTGCTCCCGCACCGCTGGTCGGGACGCTGACAGTGTCCTGGTCAGCGTGGCCCGATCGGCTCAGCCCGCGGCAGCCAAGAACAGCTCCACCACCGTCAGCTTCGGTCTCCTCAACGTGCGCTCCCTCAACACCAAGGGCCATCTGGTCCGGGATGTCCTCGTCGACCGTAAGCTGGACTTCTTGTGTTTGACCGAAACCTGGCAGCAGCCAAATGACTTTGCCGCGTTGAACGACTCCACTCCACCGGGGTTTGTTTACATCTGCCAGCCCCGCAGCTGTGGCCGCCGGGGCGGAGGTCTCGCGATGCTTCACCGCGAGACTTGGAAAGTCACACCTGTGCCTGCTGCCCCTGTCTTCTCCTCCTTCGAGTACTCTGCCTCACTGCTGCCTGGACCTTCTCCTACTGTTGTTGCCACCATCTACCGCCCGCCAAAACTTAATAAGGACTTTTTAAATGACTTTTCTCACCTTCTAACACACTTCTCATCTATCTCTCATAACGCAGTCATACTTGGGGACTTCAACATTCACATGGACAATAATAGCAACCCTCTCACCAAAGACTTCTCCTCCTGTTTAGATAGTTTTGGTTTACATCAACACATTCATTTCCCCACCCACACTAAAGGTCACATTTTGGATTTAATCTGCTGCTCTGGTCTCACTCCCACTGACTGTAAACCTCACACACTCCCATACACAGACCATAAGCTCATCACCTTCAATATCAACCTCACCCTCTCCAAGACCATCCTTCCCCGAACCATTTCTTTCCGTAAAATTCAGGACATAAACACTGCCACCTTCGCCTCAGATATCAATAACCTCCCCACTACTGATCCCAATGACTCCCCCGATGACCTGGTCTCCCACTACAACACTTCTCTCCATAACCTCCTGAACAATCATGCTCCTCTCAAAACCCGACCCGTCTCTTTCACGCTCTCAGCACCCTGGTTCACCCCTGCCCTCCGTCAGCTCAAATCCCAAGGACGTCAACTTGAACGGCTCTTCAATAAAACTGGACTCACCATTCACAAACAAATGTACAATAACCACATCATGCTATACAAGGACCATCTCTCTGCTGCCAAATCCACCTACTACTCCGGTTTAATCCACTCCAATCATCAAAACTCCAAAACTCTCTTCTCACCAATATAACCAAACCCCCTGACTCCCTCCCTCACCATATGCAATCCACTGACTTCTGTAACTCACTCATGTCCTTCTTTACCTCCAAGATCTCTGACATTCACCAACACCTGACCCCGCATGGAGCTGCAGTCTCTGGAGTGGACCCCCCAGCCCCCTACTCATCCCTCATAGCCACATTCTCCAGCTTCATCTTGCCCTCCGTCCAAGCCATCTCCGACTTTATCATTAAATCCAAACCTTCTACCTCTCAGCTCGACCCTCTCCCTACCGTTCTGGTCAAATCCTGCCTCCCCTCAGCTGCCCCCCTCATCACTAATATCATTCATTCATCTCTCACTTCTGGTACTGTCCCTCTCTCATTCAAAACCGCCTCAGTCTCACCCATTCTCAAAAAACCTGGCCTGGATCCAACCAACTTCAACAACCTCCGTCCCATCTCAAACCTTCCCTTCATCTCCAAAATACTTGAAAAATCTGTCGCTGCTCAACTCCACAACCACCTCACCACCAACAACATCTACGAACAATTTCAGCCTGGTTTCCGTCCCCTCCACAGCACCGAAACAGCTCTTCTAAAAATCACTAACGATCTCCTCATAGCCTCTGACTCCGGTTTACTCTCCATCCTCATCCTTCTGGACCTCACTGCAGCTTTTGACACCATTTCTCACTCCACCCTCCTGAACAGACTCTCCTCCATCGGCATCACCCACACCCCCCTCGCCTGGTTCACCTCCTATCTTTCTGGTCGCTCACAGTTCATTCATCTCAAATCCCACAAATCCCGCACTTTTCCTGTCTCTGCTGGTGTGCCCCAGGGCTCTGTCCTGGGGCCCCTCCTCTTCATCATCTATATTCTCCCACTCGGTCACATCCTCCGCCGTCACAACATTCACTTCCACTGCTACGCGGATGACACCCAGCTCTACCTCTCCACTAAACCATCTTCCTCTCTCCCTCCATCCTCCCTCACCCTCTGTCTACAAGAAATTCATTCCTGGTTCTCTTCCAACTTTCTCAAACTCAATAGCTCAAAAACTGAAGTCCTTCTCATAGGCACCCCCTCCACTCTCTCCAAATCTACCAGCTTCTCAATCTCCATCCATAACACATCTGTCCTCCCCTCCCCTCAAGTCAAGAGTCTGGGTGTCATCCTCGACAGTTCACTCTCCTTCCAATCCCACATCAATAACATCACTCGGTCTGCCTACTTCCACCTGCGCAATATCTCTCGTCTCCGCCCCTCTCTCACCCCCCACACCACCGCCATCCTCGTCCACAGCCTCGTCACCTCAAGGATTGACTACTGCAACTCACTTCTCTTCGGCCTCCCCAACAAATCCCTCCAGAAACTGCAGCTCCTCCAAAACTCTGCAGCTCGTATCATCACCCGGACCCCCACAGCTCACCACATCACCCCCGTACTACAACAACTCCACTGGCTTCCTGTCAAACAGCGCATCAATTTCAAAATACTCCTCACCACCTTCAAAGCACTTCACAACCTGGCCCCTCCGTACTTATCTGACCTCCTCCACCCTCACATTCCTGCCCGCACACTCCGCTCCTCCTCCACCCTCACACTCTCCGTCCCCCCAGCCAGACTCATCACTGTGGGACACAGAGCCTTCAGCCACTCTGCCCCCCAGCTCTGGAACTCTCTCCCCCCTGACCTCCGTACCATTGACTCTCTTCCACTCTTCAAATCCCGACTCAAAACCCATCTGTTCAGACTGTCCTACCCCACCTAACACACACGCGCGCACACACACACACACACACACACACACCTAACACATACGCACACACACACCCTCCTAACTCACACACACACACACACCATCCCATATTGCACCTGACTACTGTTTTATTCTGTTTATCCTGTTTTTAAATGTTTTTATTATGCCTGTACAGTGTCCTTGGGTGTTTTGAAAGGCGCTTTTAAATAAAATGTATTATTATTATATTATGTTTTTTCGAGCTTGGAGTTTAAAATTTAGCATAATCAGACCAAAGTTATGCAACAAGATTATATATTGGTTTGTTCCACTGACTAATCATCATATCATAATCAATTAAAAAGAACAAATGCGACTTTTTTCATTATCTTTAGTCTCTTTTGTTGGCCAAGAACATAAATAATTGCAGTCTTTACGATTTGCTTACTCTCCCTACAAACATATCAATCAAATGGCAAATAATTATCAGCGTTTAAAAAAAAAGTAGTCCACCATTTTGAAAACACAAATCATGCATATTATCATCTTTTCCCCCCACTAGTAATGATAGAAAGGAAAGCCGCATAAAACACCACGTCGTACCTTTTGTGTGGAGTCAATTGATCTCGTAAACTACAGTAATACACGCATGATTATGGATAAATGACTTGAGGGACCGTTGTTCACAATGTCTTGTTTTTCATGGGCTTTGATTCTTCGTTATGCGAGCTGAGCAGGAGTAACATCATGGGCCTAAAAGTGTCCATCACGCGTCATATCCTCCCGTCTGCTTTAGTCGCCAAGGGAACCGATCTTTTCTTTTACAAAACAATGTCTTCCTCTATAGACGTACCACTTCCATACATGCGTTTCAGATCCGTCGTCATGGTGAAGAGACACTATGAAAGGTATGTGTGTTCTTTGGTTTTATCACAGGTCTCTTTAACCGACATGTCATTAAATCTGCAAACGGCCGTCTCCAACAGAAACGCAGCTTGGTAAAACGCCATTTTCACATATTTGCATAATAACATAATTTCACAATTGGCAGGAAACTACTCATCAAAGGACCAACCAGCTCTGCGTGTTATGGCCGACTGCGTGCACCATCTTATGCTGAGATTAAACAATAAAAGTCAGTGGTTGGTTTGAGTCGGGGATACACATTATTTAGGGATGAAGGCCTAGTCCACATGACAGAATGGAAGAAAAAACACTAAACCCTGGTATGTGACTTTGGCCTTCCGAAAACATCCATGTTAAACTTTTAGAGCAAATGTAATTTGTATGTTAGCAAAGGCATTTTATCAACTGTGTATACCTCACTCATTGAATCCATTCTCACGTACAATATCTCCACCTGGTTCAATTTTCTCACTCTCAAACACAGGACAAAACTCAAAAGTGTAGTAAAGCAGGCCAGCAAAATCACCCAAACACCACAAACTCTGCTCTGTGAGCTGTACAGCCAATCAGTGCTGAGGAAGGCCACTCTCATCACTGAGGATGCCACACACCCGCTGTTTGGCTCCTTCTCTCTGCTGCCATCAGGAAGGAGATACAGAACCCCGCTGGCCCGAAAAAACATCTACAAGAGATCATTTGTCCCATCTGCAGTCACTGCTCTAAACAACCGGTAGCACTGTATAAATTATGAAATGTATTTTTCTTATGTGTTTTAAATGTATTTTATGTGTGTTTTATGAATGATCATGAATCGTGCCGTGTTGAAAGACAAATCTCTGCTCAATTTGAACAGACAATAAAGATCTATTCTATTCTATTCTATTCTATGTAATTACTGATTTGTTCTTCAATAAACAGTCTGACTTGTTCCAGTAGACATTCTGTACTAGACACATCATGATTTTACTGCGGTAACGAGTGATTGGACGTTTTACCAGTGCAGCATGGTACAAATTATGATCATTAAAATACCAAATTATATCGGCAACACATTCAAAGGAAATCTGTAATGAGGTCTGCAATTAATTAAGTTCATATTATAGGCCTCACATATTTTGAATGTAGTGTTCGAAAATCCCTCTGGACTTTTCCAGTTGAAAAATATATCTATATACGGTTTGTGGATTGTGATTCTGAATTGCACAAACATGAATACAATTGTTCCTGGTCCTTCTTCTCTCGGCTCTGACTCAACAGGGTTCTTTTGGGGGGCTTACAGTCGCCCCAAAAGATGGTCTCTACAACGTGGAAGTCCCCTCACTCACTGTCTCGCTGACACTGGTTTTGACCTTCACATTGTCGTTTTGGAGCCCTCCACAAACCCATGGTACTAGGGTTTTTAAAGGATTCTCTGATCTGTTGTTGAAGAATCGATTACTTTGAAGGGGTTATGTTTTGTTTGTACCTTAAAAAACTATTTTTCATGAGTTTCATTTTTGATCAATGTGCAGTGTTTTCTCAACCTGTGTACAGTATGTGGTTTTTTTTTTTTTTTTTTGGAGAAAAAGAAGAATACACTGGCAGACAATACATATGCATTTCTACATACCTACTTTACTTGTCCTATACTAGTGTCTCAATATGATTGTGGCCGATGGGTTACATTTTTAGACCATCTTTTTAGAGATTTTTTTTTAAGGCATGAAATTCCTAGTCAAGTAATTACACAAGAGAAGCAGTTATCTGAAAACGTAAACATCGATTCAACAAGATTCAGCCATTCCAAAACTATTGTGCAAATGAGACAAACTTTGCCCCTTTTTTACACAGTGGTTGCTATGGTAACTTCCAACAGGACATTTTCTGACTTATTATTTTAACACACAAACTCAATGATATTATTCAGTTAGATTTAATAAAAGTAAAACAAAGCTGTTATGTTGACACTGCCGACGTCTTTCAAACCATTTATAACTTATTGCTGTTTCTGTTTTAGAGTCACAAATAGGTTAGGATTAGGTTTAGGATAACAATGAATGTGGTTATGGTTAGTTGGGGCTATAAAGGGTGAGGGTAGCTTGATGGAGGATGAAACACAGAACCAAAATTTGAGTTTTTCCCAATGTCCCACAGTACCCAGAATTAGGCGTGATTTCAAAAAATAAAACGTAAGAAATTCCAATACAGTAGCTCATACTTCTTAATCTCTCCCTTCTGGCTGCTATTCATAAACCTCTTTCATCCTTCTTTAACGAGCAAAGATTGACATGATAAAATCTGATAAATGGTTACCAGCAATTTCTTCAATTATACGATACTGTCTGTCAATGATAGCAGCATGCAGCATGTTTTAGCATTAGCCAGACACAGTATTAATGAGGAAATTAATAGAAGGATGTGGTGTCCGGGCGCTTGCACAGTGTAAGCTAAGCCGCGCTAATCGATACTGGCTACGGGTATAATGTGCAATGTAAATCATAGGGCTATGAAAGAGAGAAGCTAACGACCTATTGCATTACACTAGCAGTCGATGAGTGACGGCAATGTTACACCCTTTAATAATTCAGCAGTAACAAATGTGATGAAGCCTCACACAGAGCATGATAATTCGAGTCTGTGGCTGGACTTTTCAGCTGCGTCTGTGCAAGTGTTTGTCTCCTTGACAGTCATTCCCCCCCCCCCCCACAGAAGACACAGGTCCGCAACACAATAGAGAAAAGAACAATTCAAAGGCTTGCTGTGGACTTTGCCTAAATTAACAATGTAAAAGAATGACCATCAATCAATCTTTATTTGTTGCGCCCTTACAAAACATGTGACACAAAGAACTTAGAAAACAAAAATATCCATTGGTATTATACAAAATTGTGTTATTTTGTGCAAAGCCTCATGGGAGAGGTGGCTCAACTGCTGACGCTAAGAAATACCATAGACTGTAAGTACAACTCAGTATATAGATAGAAAATTCTAACTCGTTCAATTAAACCAAATAGGGAAGTGCTCATGGTTGAAGTTTAGCTCCGACTTTTGGGTGGCAGTCTTCGGGTAAAGCGCTTTTGGCAATGCATTCAGAAAGAGCGAAAGACTCGTTGAGCTCCACTTTATTTACAGAACAATGTCAGGTATTCATATAATGCCATACATGGCAGTCATTTCACCCGTACCACATGTTACGCAGATTTACAGAGGTGAGAGGAGGTGTGCGGGCCTCTGACAACAACAGAACATGCAGTGGCACAATACGGCGCTAAAATGAGTCTGGTGTGTTTGTGAATGGTTGGTGGTGGTCCGAGGGGCCGATGGCACATACTGGTTGCCTCGCTTCTGTCAGTGTGCCCCAGGGCAGCTGCGGCTACAGTAGTAGTTTATCACCACTGTGTATAGAGTGAATGAATAATGACATGTAAAGTGTCTTTGAGTGTCCAAAAAAGCACTATATAAAACTATGCGTTATTACAACTGGCCGTTACAAATTCTCTCTTTACTCCAATTGACTCTGAAAATGTATGTCACACTCAAAAATGTGCATTTAGAAACCGTGGTTCTGTGATCCTTGTTTTTACATCTTCGTAATGCCTTTAATTGACTCATAAGGGTTGACCAATCAGATGCCATCATACGCAGGGGAGACTCCAGCTTGCTTTTGAAATTCAATTCACAACAGTAGTTATCTCAGAGGATTTTACTAAGTTGTCGATTTGCCAACACAGATCAGAAAATCAAACAGTTCAAACACAGGAAACGAAACAATAAAAAGAGGAATGGGTCCATAAAGGGCAGATGACCAATATCGATGAAGGTTGATAGATGTTTGCAAACCACCTAAACAACATGTCTGCCGCTTATACGGAGCAAAGACAGAACTAATCTATGAAAATGACTCCAGTTCTCTTATGTTCAAATCAGCTTCTTCCACATTCAGCAATCACCATGGTGACATCAGCACTCAGTCCACTCTTAAAATATGGATTATGAAATTACCAAAGCTGCTAAAGTCTTACTCCCAGCATGCACTAGTGATCACGACCCTTAAACTCGACATTAATTCCAGGTAAACAGAAATCTCAGCACAGGTTTTTGTATTTTGCGTTTTTCAAATGCATTCTTTGCAGGTCCACAAGCAAATTGGATATAGTAGCTACAATTACGATTTTGTTTTGGTTTTTGTTACATAAAATGAATGAAAAACGTTAACAGCCGTTTTAATCATCAGACACTCCAGATGACGCTGCTGTAGCAAATGTTCATACTGGACTTAAGACTTAAGACGAACAATTTGAATGCAGGCCATTTATTGAGAAAATATGAACTTGTTTTCAAAGCTATTGTCAGAAAATACGAAACACATTTCCTATGTCGTGAAGGAGACAATGCACACGTAGATCTATGCAAATTGGCTGGATGTTATTTATAATATCACACTTGAGCATTTAATTTCACATATCTGAGTGGAAGGGTGCTTCAGCATATCGAGGTTGTAAGAGGTTAAAGCTCTGTGTGATGGTGATTGGTAACAACTCTTCATATGTTTGTTCTTTATATGTTTCTTCATATGTTTGTGTAAGCTCTCAGTCGTACAGGGATCATTCAAAACAAAGGAGGGTTGCTCCCCCATCAACTGTACTTCAGTTAGCAGGTTTCATTCTTGACGTTTCATTCTCCATCCAAAGTATTTACTGCTTTAAACCTATAGTTCTGAAAAAGGATGGGCCCTCACAGGTACTTTTGCTTCTGCCTCCTCCTTTTTGAGCTCTTCATTGTATAAACTGTGCTTTGGTTGCATTCGTGATGTAGAATTCCATTACAGTTGGAGAGCAGAGGCCGATGCATCTCTATGGCATTCGACTTTATGGCAAAAACACATCTGGGAAAACCTATGAGCCATTATCTTCTTAGTCTCCATTCTACACAAGGGCGTAGACTTGGGGATTGTGGAGACATGTCCAATATCAAAAATGTCCTCACAATGAGATGACGTCCTGGGCCGAATCCTCCGTCTCCACAGGGGTCGATCCTGGGACCTCTTCTGTTCAATCTCTACATGCTGCCGTTAGGTCAGTTAATACGCAGAAACGAAGTGTCCTATCACAACTATGCAGACGACACTCAGATCTATGTCTCACTGACTGCAGGAGAACATGGACCAGTAGACTCACTCCTTCACTGTATCCAACAGATCAGTGAGTGGATGCAAAACAACTTCCTTCAGCTAAACGCAGACAAAACTGAAATTATTGTCTTTGGTCCCCAGAAACAAAGAGAGAGCCTCATCTGTCACCTCCAGTCCCTCTCCCTAAAACCTTCAAACAAGGTCAGAAATCTAGGGGTAATACTGGACTCAGACTTAAATTTTAACAGCCACATCAAATCAGTAACATCAGCAGCTTTTTACCATCTAAAAAACATTGCCAGGATCAAAAACATAGTGTTTAAAGCAGACTTGGAGATTCTGATCCATGCATTTGTCTCCAGTAGGTTAGACTACTGCAATGGCCTGCTCACAGGTCTGTCCAAACTTCCTGTGGCTCGGAGAATAGACTTTAAAACAGCTCTGCTTGTGTACAAGTCTCTCCATGGCCTCGCACCAAAATATATTAGTGACATGTTAGTCCTAAATGAATCAGCCCGGACTCTGAGGAGCACAGGGACTGGACTCCTGTTAGTGCCCAGAGTCAGGACTACCCATGGGGAGGGGAAAAACAAATACACCATTGTTATATCTACTGTCAAAGAAGATGAGGAACTTTGAAGCAGTTTTTGTTCGGTGGATTGGCTTTCGAGAAAACAGCTCTAAGACTAGTAATCTGACTTTTGACCATCGTTGCAAGGAAAGATTTTTCTCCAACGCAATTTTAACATAGGTTCTTTAGATTTTGTGATGTCACATGAATGCAACCAATTTAAAGAATAATAATCTATAGAAGCCATGATGTGATTGAAGCATTTATTTGCCTGGTGTTTTTGAACGTGCGAATCAGTTGGTTTAAACAGTTTGATATAATACAGAATGACTCAGGAAGGACAGCAACATGTTGAGAAAACCAATCAATAGATCCACCAACACATCTGACAAGTGCTATACTCAAGTGACCATACAAAAGTGACGCCAATTTTTTTGTTCCACCTTTATTTAACCAGGAAAGTCCCATTGAGATTAAGAACCTCTTTTTCAAGGGAGTCCCAATGTTACAAACTTTAATAATTCAGCGTCAACAAATGTGATGATGCCTCACACAGAGCCCGATAGTTTTCAACTACATAATGTGCAAGTGTTTGTCTCCTAGTCAGTTTTTTGTTTTTCTTTTATTTTTACACACAATACACACATGCACACAGGTCCATAACAACAACACAAAAATGGAAAGAAAAAAAAATGTGTACATATCAAAGCAAATACACAATTAAGGTTCTCCAGAGGTTGATTGTGGTTATTCTGGCGTTATAGAGGCTTGCTGTGGAGAGTTCTGTACAAACAAGATCAAAGAATGTCAATCAATTATTCTTTTTTTTGTTGAGCGCTTACAAAACATGTAGCACAGTTCTTCACATTCTATGGGTATTATTCTGTTTTCTTTATGATATATTTTTTTTTTATCTGTTTGTTTTACATAAATTCACACGTTCTGCTTTCATGCAAGCTCAGACATTTCCGTAACCATCTGACTTCTCTGGTGACGGTGGGGACTATAGACTGCATGACACACACATGCAGCAACGGAAACAATACAAAATGTGCAGAAAAGAACTTGAATTATCTTTTCTCATTCTTTAGAAAGGCTCAGCGACCTTCACTGTTGTGATTTAAGAAATACAGGAGCAAATGTTATTCAATTAAATGTGCAAAGAAAAATCTTAATTATTTCTGCTATATTTTGGCGGGGGGGGGGGCTTAAATATGTTTACCAAAGTGAAAAAACTAGTGTGATACAAGACCATCTCAATTTGTCTTTTTTCTTCTATCCAATCACAATCTGACACAGTGTCACAGTTGAATTTCCGGCTTGAGCAAATTTGAGATTTCCTAGTTTCAGAGATTGCATGAAAGCAGTGATTAAACAAAGATATATAAAACAGCACTTTGTTTTTGCTCTTGTTTTTCATGGGTTCGACTTAAAAACTTAAAAAAAATCTAATTTCACATACTGTATGTCTAAATATGAGATGAACCGTTGTCACAGAGCGGTTTCCAGTCATTTAAAACAACAGTATTTGGGAATTATAGCGATTCTTTACAGCTGCATGGATTCAGTTGTAAAGAATGATGTCTTGTAATCAGATGTTTAAGATATAGAGTATATAGGAGGATTTTCTACTTCCAGGTGGATCATCAAGACTCCCCCTTATTGACAATCATTCTGGTGATACATGCTCGTCAAATAAGACAAAAGAGTTTTTTTCAAAATAAGGGGAGGGCGGTTCTTTCCTAACATTTGGGAAAATCCTCCTTTTTACTTTTAATTTGATTGAAACATTCCACTTCTGTCTCTAGATAAAGGTGTTTCACAACCATTGATCCCTCTGTAATCCATTATACATGTTAATTCATATATTAAAGCATGGGCACCAAACACATTTAGTCAGTAATACATTTCATCCACCTTTTTTGTTGGTCCATACTGTATCTCAGTTTTAGATTAGTGACTCTCAAAGCTCCTCTAACAAGTATGCAAAATATGACATGTCTAATAATAAAGACAGAATGTTGGGGTCTGGTTGGTGAGTCTTTCTGTTGGGAAAACTAAATATAGTTATGATAAAATAAAAGTGAGGTATCCCACCTTTAAGAAATTATTTAACTTTCTAAAACAATCTAAAGTATGTACTCTCAAGATCATGTTTAAGGCACAAAAAGGAGCCAACAACTTTAAATCATCACTCAAAGGATTTTTTGTTTCACAAAGGCTGGGTGGATTCACAACAAAGAATGATGAATTTTTTATGTATTTGCACATTTTTTGTTTTTCATTATAACAAGAAAAATGTACTCCATGTTGCATCCTGTCGTTTCTGTCATTGGTGCTATAAGAACGAATGAAGTCTGGGATGTTCTCTTTTGTAATGCTGACCGTGACTGCAGTCTGACCACGAGACATCAGAGGTTTGGCGAGATAAGGCGAGCGTGTGCACTGTGAGAGGTCATGTATCGATGTGAGCGGACACAATTCTTATTGATTTCAAAAGCAGGAGTTGTG